ATACACTCCTCCCCAGCGTCATCAGATTTTATACTGACTCATTTGATTTCTGGCACTATTTACTTTTTAACTCACAGTACATTTCCTGTCAGTGGTTTTGATCAGATTTTACAGCTGTTAGGCTTTAAATAAAATACCTGTTCCACTTAATTTTATTTTAAACTACTCAGCAGGCAGCTCAGCACCACAAGGCTTTTTGCTTACTACTCCCTAAGGTGGGGTGGGGAAAGAACTGAAAACAGTAAAAGGGTAAGAACTTGTCCATTGAGGAAAGGGCAGTTTAATTAGAAAGATGATTATAATGATAATAATAATAAAAAGACACACAATGCAATTGCTCACCATCAGCCAACCAATGCCCAGCCAGTCAACCTTAGTTTTGTTGCTCAATGTGATGCCACATGGTATGGAATGTTATTCTTTGGCCAGTTTAGGTCAGCTGTCCTGGCCATGTTCCCTCCCAGCTTATGCGATCCCAATCTCCTTCCTGGCAGGGCAGTGCAAGAAGCAGAAAAGACCTTAACTTAGTGTAAGCACTGCTCTGAAACAACTAAAACACAGGTATGTTATCAACACTATTTTCACCCTAAAGCCATATCAGCTGGTGTGAAGAAAATAAACTTTATCCCAGAGAAACGCAGAACAACTGTTCTCACTCTGAAAGTATGCCACATTCTCTCCTCTACTGGAAGCACTATAGCCTCCTAAAACAAGATCCATTTTGACCAATGCTATAGCTATGTCAGGCAAGGCTACAATCAACGTTAGAATATTATCTCTGGCAATGGCCTAGAGTACATACTGAAAGAGGATTAGAAAGAGAGCAGAAAGAGTGGGTGTCCTTGGGGCACTGGCCTAATGCATCCAGAGATCTAATCATAGTGACCCGAAACACCTTTCTGGGTTATAATATAAAACACAGCACAGTTTGGGTCATCTCCTCTTACTTCCTGCCTTTGTCCTGGGTGTTAGTTCACATTCTTTTAATACTATAGAATCCACTGCTACAGTAATTCTTCCCTTTTTAATTATTAACCTGTAAATAGACGAGACTGTCTATTCCAGCTTCTAGTAATCTGCCTGGCCTAAGAATCTTCTTTTCCTTGATTTCAGAGATACTTACTAACTCTTTGACGCCTTCCTTCCCCGTGACTTCTAGTGAGATGTGATTTTGTGAAGAATGTGAACACATTCACAAAATTTTATAATGCAAACTCAGTAATATCATCAGAACTGTACTGAGTGGGAAAATATGAAGTTGGTAGAAACTCTGTCCACTATGCTATACTACTGCTGCCATATTTAATAGCCAGTCAGACAGTGATGCTGCACTGCCACCAGCATACAGCTTTCCAGGTATATTCTGAGCTGAAGAAACATCTACCAACCATAGAAATTCACTTGGCAACCTAGTCTAGGTATCCATTTTGTTTGTCCTTAACTTATATATAAATAACATCCATTCATGCAAGCCAGAAGAACTCCACAGCAGGTCTAATGCTAACATATTCAGCCTGAATAAACTGTTTGATGGGATCTGGTGAATTGGGACAGCATTAAAACAAAAACAATAATACACTATTGCTTAGTACTTAGACCACACTTTACATGTATTAGTACTGCAAAAAAAACATTACTTGATTAACCAATTAATCAAGAAGCTACAAAATTAGCTACATTAACTAATTAATGAATCAAGAAGCTATTAAAAGCCTGACTGAAAGGATACCGATTGCTGCTAGAAGAAACAATACAGTTGCAATGTTATGTTGCAAAGGCAAGAACTTCAAAGTCGGAAATAATAGTTGACAGATCTATGTAGATGTGCATGTGCGTGGATTTGAGGTACATGCTAAAGGTTTGTGGTATGGCAACCTAGAGAAGAGCTTGAAAATACACTGTCTGATATAAGTGTCAGGTCAGGCTGGATGAGGCTCTAGCTACAGACATCCCTGCTCTTTGCAGGGCAGTTGGTCTACATGACCTTTAAATATCCCTTCCAACTTAAATGATTCTTTGATTCTATGACAAAGGGTTATATAAAGTGAACCTCTTTCAAATATAAAAGATCAAGCTGTGGCTGAAATCATGCCTTGCAAGAAATACTCACTCAGAAGAAAATCTAGGAAAAAATCAGAGAAAACATACTTTTACTATATTTATAGTCTCTAGCATCAGAAGTTGCATGCATTATGGGTTCTCAGAGAGGTACTGAGATATGAACTACACTGAGTAATTTCCAATTAATTAACTTTGACGGGAAATGTGAATGGCTTGCTCAGTATATGCAGCTCATTCAATGATCATGACACAATTCAGTGTTTGCAAGAGTTTTCTGTTAGCCTGCACTCTATTAACCTCCAGAAGTGGGGAGACCAAGATCTGCACCCAAATGGAGTAAAATGGAAGAAACAGAAACAACCTTCCCATTTCCAAGTGCTTGGGATATGAATCCCTGAGAGCAAGTGAGATAGAGATCCACTTTCTCGTTACTTCTTGCTACCATGGTAATTTCTTTACAACCCAAGCTCCTTTCCAAGCAACACACTCTATAGAGCAAGACTGCAGCTAATTTCAGTAACTTCTCTGATCTTTCATATCTCTGATCTTTCATATCATTGATTTCTTTATCCCACTTTGACAACAAGGCCAAGCAGTAGCAGAGTTCCAGTTGCTATTTGTACACACATCATTATAAAGCTACAGCAAAGTACGAGTTAAAACAGCTGCACTGATAACTGCCAGCAGGTCTTGTGCAAAGGTTCTGTAAGAACTGTGTGTTCATCACTCAGAATCCTCCATCTCTCAATTGAATTGCTATAGCAGCACCTCTGGCACAGAAAGGTACCTGAGACTGGACCTGCTCTAACTAGTGATTCCAGAACATGGAATAAGAGAATAATTAAGGATGGAACAGACCTCTAGGATCATCTACTTCAACTGTCAACCCACCATCACTATGGCCACTAAACCATGTCTTTCCGTGGCACACCTACATGTTTCTTGAACACCTCCAGGAACATTGACTCCACCACTTCCCTAGGCAGCCTGGTTCAATACCTGACCACTCTTGGAGAAGAAATTTTTCCTAATACTCAACCTGAACCACCCATGGCACAAGTTGAGACAGTTATCTCTCATCCTACCGTGTCATATCATCATAACACGTCAAGCTATGCCTCTGTGATGGGGATTAAGATAACTGCAGGCAGCAACACAGGCATTATAGACTGTGTGTAATGTGCAGACTGTCACATGGTCATCACACAGAAGAGTAGAAGGGGGTTACCTATTTTTCCTAAACTGACCTGTGATAAAACAGGTCTTATGCAATGAGATTGTTGATCCACTTCCCTGCTTTCTTATTCCAGTGTTTACACCCCTCCTTTAAATTTTATTAATTTTCAATCTTGCTGTGATAAAAACAGAAAATGAGAGTAGAATATCATATCCTGTAGCACTACAGCACTTGAGAGAGAGTCACATCAGCACAGTTGAAGTAGGAAGGAGAGGAAGTTCAGACCAGGTATTGCCCTCTCTCATTAGGCAATCATATGGACAGAAAGAGCTCTTGTCTGAGTGCAGAAAGCTCTCAATTTGCATGGCTCTTCAAGCCAAGTACTAGAGCAGCCTACATTTCATTCATCCTAATTGGCATAAAATAAGCACATTATGGCAGTCAGTCTCTCCAAGGATAAGCAACATAAATTAGATTATACACTGGCATGCAAGGCAGCCTGGTCCCAATCCTCACTTCCTATGAACACTGTTTTTGGTGCACACTGTATTGCAGAAACCATAGATGCTACAGATTACAACCAAGGCTAAATGCCTGGGCTACAGCTTAGTAAAAATGTACAACATCTCTGTGACCTGATGTAGAACCGAGTCTAACGTTTTCTACAAAAAAAAACCAACATTTTTCTATGTCACTTCCCAAATGGAAGGGGAGGGAGGGAGGGGGAAGGGAAAGCAATTCTGAAAACCATAGTCAGAAAGTCTTTTTAGTCTAACTCCAGTGAATGTCTGTACAGCATACTGCTGGTGAGAAACTTTCCCCTGCTAATACTGGATTAGTAATTCTCTCTTTCACACTGTATGGCTCTGGAATCAACTCTACCGCTCAGGAAAAGCCCAGGCTCCCTGACTGAGATCGCTATTTATACTGGATGCCCATTAATTGCATTGCTTGGAATGATTTGCTGTAAGTTTTCCTTTTTTTTTTTTTTTTATTCTAGCAGCATTATGTCGTGATCTGATGATTGATTGGGCCCTGTGAGCAATCATGAGCCCAAGCCTATTGCTGCTAGCTTGATAGAGTGTATATCTCTATTTCATATTCAATAATGATGAATGGTCATGGCTTACATTTATATAGCGCCTTTCATCCAGAAAGATCCCAAAGCGCTTTACAAATTGATTTACTGTGCAAACTATGGGGTTTATTCTCCGCTTCATAAGCTCGTATAAATCCCATTGAGTTACTTGCACTTCATCATGGTACTTGGTATTGCCTAAACAAAGCACAAGCACTCTTTATAATACACCTAGGAGAGAGTCAGGAAGCACTTACGAAAATATGCAAGCGTTCAGAACCTCAGTTTTATGTCTTACCCAAAAAGCAGAATATTTAGCAGCAAACTATCTGCCTAGTCCTTTGAAAGCACAACTTTCTGTGCTACTAGCAGGGCTTCCTGCAGCAAAACATTCCTTGCAGAGGTCACCTCCAAGGTCTGTGCCTACCTGCATGTGATTGCACCCTGAGGCAGTAGCTGTTTAAAAGGCAGTTCCTTCTTGTTTGAAAAACAAACAAACAAACAAACAATCAAACAACAACCCCACACACTATTAAGGAGAAAGCTGCAATAAATTAAGTACTAGAAGCCACCAAGATAGGCTGCATGGGCTTCAACTAGACTTAAAAGAATGGTAATAATAACAACCAGATATTTAACCATAGCATGATGCTCTATACTGATGTTTTGAAAAATATTACCCACTTGACTTCTCTGTTCAGTTTGGGGTGAGAAGGATGACATACCATGGCCATCTCCTGCAAGAAGGAAAGTTCTAACTGAATACGTGGAAAAACATTTTCACCATAACTCAACAATGGAACGTGTTATCCAGAGAAACTGTGGAATCTTAATCTCTGAAGGTTTTCAAGTCCCAGCCCAATCAATCCTCTCCTGCACACTCCTCTGCCCATTTAGGCCTTTACCCAACCTCCTTTCTCACTTAATTCCTCTCGTGTCTTATGTTCTGCATGACATCATGGCTCACGGTCCTCCTTCTGGTTTCGATGTAACTAGGAGTGCGGTGAGAGTAAGGGTGACACTCCTAGTTCTAGCCTGTAAGATAACAATGGCCTTCACGTTTGGAGAAACAGTGACACAGAGGACCAGATCAAGGCCCACAGACCTGAGGTAAAGCATGGAACTTTATCAGCAGGACAGCAAATAAGTATCACCGTAATGAGGGCAGGTACTCGCTTTTTGCAGAGAGCATCATCAGAATTTAGCTGTCAAACACTAAAAAGTAGCTCATTTGAGCTACTGAAAAACGAATCTCAATAACGTGCCTATTTTTGATAATGCAGGGATATCAGGAAAAGTATAGTAATGACTCCTCATCATATTTTATCTCACTCCTTCCATACAATGGAAATAGTTCCTTAGCCAAGAGCATCAATACTTCAATATAGTCAAAACATGCATTGCTGGCAGTCCAATAGCAGGATTTATTTATTTGAGTTAACACCAGAAGTTAAAGATTCCACTCTCTCTACCAATCAAATGTTTAGAAAGCATGGACTTCCATAATTGTCCTGTTTGGTGGATTTAGTAATCAACAAAGAACGATGAGATCAAAGCCAACTTTCTATAAGGAAATATAGAAAACAAACAGGTGCACTGATAAAATAGCAAGAAATTCTTACAATCTGCTATTTGGAAACTTTAGAGAAGCCAAAGAATCATTCTGTAGTTACTGCCTTAAGACAGAACACAATCTTAGCCATGGATTATACAATCTGACTACGCTCTTCTAACTGGATGACCCCAGAGTGACACAACCAGAGTAGGGTATCAATGAGCAACATGAGGCAAACTACATAGGCTGACTGAGGGCACCCTTGAAAACAGGAGCAGAAAAATAAGTTAATTTCATGCAAAGAGACATCGTCTGATCTTATTATTCAGCAAGTAGTTGAAAAGATTTTTTAATTTTTTATTCTTTGACAACTTGCTAACAACCACAGGACACCTCATCAACATTGAGGAACAAGTGATAAGAAAGCCATGAAGTAATTCTAAATTAAGGAAATCCTATCAAATTACATAGTTAAGGCAACAGGGTCAGAGTCCATTTCCTGGCAAAATAGCCTCTTATTTCACATTGAAATGCCAGCATAACTAACATATATTGAACTTTTACTGGCACTCAGCAGAAGAGTCAAGGATCAAACAAATGCTAGAGACTGAGATCCTTTCCAGTCTAGGAGAATCCATTCCTTCTGTAGAAGTCACATTCAGAAAGGCAGGGATACCAAGGAAGCCTATATCAACTTGCATAGCTTTATCTATCCCAAGGATAAAGAGAGTATTCTGACAGCCACCCACAAGCATCAGCCTACACTTTGATCACCAGCACTGAGCTCACATCATATGACTGTTGTCAAAAGATAAGAAGATACAGCCAATATTTTGCAAATGAAAGCACTGACTTTTAAAAGCTTTGGAAGAGTAGTAACAGGTAGTGCTCAAATACCTTCACTTTTATGCACTAAAATAAAATAAAGCAACATGGCTTGAATAAAATAAAATTTTCAAGTTTTCTGGTCTTTCCAAGCAGATCAGTTTACACAAAATATGACAATGGTTAGCACAGTGTGATCCAAAGATTGCAGTATTCAGCTTCACAAGCCTACAACATCATTGTATCTGTCTGTACACAATGGCTTCCATTTAGCCAACAAACGTTTCCCAAAGGTTGTGCAACAGGAGCCAGAGCTACATGCAGGTATGGCACTACGTAGGACAAACACTAAAGCATATAGGGAGAACTAAAAAATGTAAATCAGGGCATGAGGAAACAGTATTTTACATGAGTTTGTTACAAGACCAAGTGGAAAACTATTGTGCTCCTGATTGGTTTTTTGGTTTTTTTTTTGTTTCTTTTTTTTTTTTTTTTCCCAAAGCAAGTGTCAGAAAGCATGAATCCTATTTGTATAAGAAAACACATGATCCTCTTCAGCCTCCCAGTGCGGAGAAGCATGTTGCGCTACACCATCCCCCTGCAGCCCTCCCTCCCTCCCTCTCATCCGCCGTAGATATACAAGGCTAAGTTGATGAGCTGTTCAGCTTAGTGTGAAATGTGTTACATTTTCCCCCCAGCTGCTTCCTGATTGCAGTATTTACTTTTAATCTCCTCTGCCTCAATGCCCGATAAAAACTTTGTCACATTAGATGGTGACAGATGGGAAAGAGAAGGGGGGGATCACTGCAAGGGAACGTTCTGGCTTCCCAATAATTTTTCACAACGCCAATTATGTCCTTCAGTGCTTCCCGGCATGTGCACCCATGTCAGCAGAGAAGGAAATAGAAAGGCATAAATAAAGACAAAACCAGGCCCTGCATGGCTTTAATCTGCAGAATAACATTTCTCATTTGGGTGAAATATTGTTGGATTTTCTTCCTGTACTAGGAATGGAGACACACACACACATATATACACAGAGACACATACTCAGAGTTCACAACTGCCTGCCTTATGCATGAATAGTAACTGCATGTGAATGGAAAAGAACAGGTGTTTTCTGCTTTCTGAAAGATATTCACATTCCGAAAGCAAAGTGTTTGGCTCTTTAATGCAACTGTTACTGATTAAATGGGGGTCACACGAAAATTGTCATCTTTATGGTATCAAAACAGTTCTTAGATAGTTAAAGATAGTTAAACATCACACTGTGCTTGAGGCTGCTGAAACATTTGTTTACAAGTCTAGTCCTAGACACTGCCGCATTTGCCGCCTCTAGATGTTCCATCCAAGACAATGGGTAACAAAAAATCTTTCAAATCTGAGTTTCTTGCTTTGGTCTCCTAGAGAAATGAAACACAACAGTAACAGCACAAATTGGTGGAGACATATGCAGCAGAAGCTAAAAGTAATCATGAAGCAAATTGAGAGAGCTTCAGGAGGAAGATGAGAGATTTGATCTGGTTTGACATTAGCTGTCTTATCAGGACAGAAAATCCTATTTTTCATTTGTCCTGGCTGTATTTAAGAAAAAGCTTTATGGATCTTCTTTGTAAACAAGAAAAACGTTTGTTTGAACAGACAGAACCACATGTGCTTTGGACCACAGCTACTGGTCTCTTCTTGACAACTGTGGCTCAGTTCCAAACAGGTGACTTCAATACCAAGCAGAAGAGGAATTCTGCTTCTGTCCCAGAGAAGCACATAATGAAATAACAGAAGCTGCTCCAGGGTATGATAGAAGTGCAACAGAATGATAGGAAAGGAGCTTCAACTGGAAGAAAAATGGAAAGATAACTTTAGATGTAAATGTTATGATGGTGTACATGAACGTTCACAGGTAGAGTGAATTCAGGCATCTTCCATCAGGCCAGAACTTGGACTGCTGGCAACTTGATTTAAAGTCAAGACAATGTCCCTGTACACAAGATTAGAAGTAAGATACACCAGAAATGAAATAAAACAAGTACTCTATTGCCTCTCAAATCAAGAGGCTTCTGGGTAGCTACAAATTGGACATTAGCCAAGGAGATACTCATTTAGCCTTTGGAAAGAAAAATAAATGTGAATGAAAGATCTCTGGGCTCAAGGCTAGAAGATTTAGTAGACAACAGGCAAAGGGCTATAACACACAGAAACAATGAAGAAGACTCAGATAAAATGAACTGTGCTTTATAAGCAGCCAGGGAACAAATGGCTGGAGCCTGCACAGAAAGATAGTACTAGCAACCTGTTGCCTTAAGTTCTTCAAGTGTAGTGTTGCTCTGATGGAAATAGTTAACTAGTAACAGGAACATTATGATCTCAGTCAGTCTCCTTGTAGTTGTGAAGGACCAGATTTTAGCAGCCGTACCTGTATTTGTGTCTGTCAGTATAGACTCATTAGAGGCAGGTTTACAGCACTGATTATGCCAAAGAAATTCCCCCAGAAGATCAACAATGCACTCAGCATGATATTATCATGCCAGGGAAGAAGCCATCTTCCCTAGAAGCAGTGAGGAAACACAGGTTTCTGAAAGACTTGTCTGAAAAGGGCACAAATTAGCAGTATCATGCTGGCTAGAATTCGACAGATACAGGATCTATTTAAAAGAAAAATTCATATGAAAAGGAACATCAAAGCAAATTGAGTTAAGGAAAAAGCTAGAATTGAAAAATTCAAATGTGAACCATTTTTAAATTGCAGCTGCCTTTCCAAAGGATGAGGTCTGAAAACTAAGAACTGTATATTAGTTGTATGTGGTTGGAGCCTCTGGAAGGAACCTGTGATAGAGCTGCTAAGAATAGCATTGTATTTGCGAACAGGTGAGATGGATAACTGCTGCAGAATGTACCATATCCCAGGGTGATGTTTTTCATTCCTTCTCCTTTTTATAGACATATCAACCTCGTTCCCTTGTAGTTTACTAATTGATAAAGATTCTAAATAATAAAATGTATATGTATCCAGATTGTTTTCATCTAGCCTCCAAATGAGTTCCTCAGCAAAATCACATTCTCAACAGGCAGTACTTTGACAAACTAAAGAGAAAGAAAAAATATATAGAGAGAGATGTACTACTCCAATGACTTCTGACCTAGAAGTATGATTTTTCCAGGCCGAAGAGCTGAATCACGTATTTTTGTACTCTCAGGAGATAGTCAATTGCTTTCACTTGAATTTGTTGTCATTTGCACATTATGTTAAAGGAGTGGAACTGTCCTATGAATCAGAGGCATAAGATACATTTCCCAACTTATACTTTCATTTCTTTCTACCTTAGAAGGAGAAGAAGTTCAAATGTAAAGGACCCTTTC